ATGATTTAATCTAACTCAGGGCTGGGCGTAAAGTAGCTCACTCTACAAGCTTTGGATGGATTACAGGATGAATGGCCATTTAACTTAAGGGACACCTGGGGAACACATTGATCCTGCACCTCATACTTAAAAGGACAGTGCAAGACTGAAGGACTAGTTTCTCCAGTATTATAAAATGAGTGGGTTCATGTTCCCCTTTGTCCTGTGAACCCTCTTATATAGAGGAAACTAGGAATAGAAATCCATAGAGACTTATCCTAAAAGGCGTTTTAATGTGATGCTGGAAATGAGCAGACAGCTTTTTTTTTTTTTTTTTTTGGATATTTGCACTCAATATTCAATGTCATTTTTTTCTGCCTATCAAATGATCACGTTCTTCAGCTGCTGGAACATTAGGTTAATGACACAGAGCTGAGCCAAACAAAGACCGAGCCAAGTTGCAAGCTCCTGTCTAGCATTGATTGGGGGGGTCATAAAAATAATTCATTCCCTCGGTTTGATTTTGACAACCCAAAGAAAAACACCTTGGATGTGTTGAATGACAGACACTCTCTCTGAAAAGCTTCAAATATCTTCTAGATGGGACAAAGCTGATGTCCACAATATTCCTGCCAAGTAGGAAAACAGAGCATCAACTCTGGAATTACTAAATATTTGGTGTAGCTCGGACAATTTGCAAAGATGATAGGGTTTCAAAGACAATGAAAGCTGAAGGATATGAAATTGATAAACCCCAAGACAGTGTGTGACCTGGGAGGAGGGAGAGGAAGAGAAACCAAAACACTGACCCTTCCAATCAATTATCTCCCAGTGACAGAACAAGCCCTGGAAGGGAATAACCATCAATCCAAGACAGCAGTCTCTGGAAGGAGGGATCCTTTCCCAAATAAATTCCCCCCAGTGACAGTGAAACAACACATCAATCTTGTCCGTGTGTAAATACAATGGCCTCAGGAGGTTAGATGAACACTGGATTCTGAATGTAGAACCCTCCATCCCTACCCTGTAAAAACTAATTGTCTAATTGATATATTCAGTAAAAAAAAAAAAAAATATGCCCAGTAAAAACACATTCCAGATGTTTGCAACCTTTTGCCCACGTTTTGTTAAAGTCCTCAAGTTCTAAAACAACCTCCAATGTAACCAAATAGCCCGTATAACCAAATCATCATTGCCATTTTCTACCCAGAAAGTGAGCCCTCTGACTCCTGACCCTGCTGCTGAATAAAGGCTTTGCTGAATCCGTGAGGTCTGCACCCATCTCAGTCCCTTTTGTGCTTACTAAAGCATTAATGCTAACTCTACTCAAACAAGAGGCCACAGGATAAACTGGCCTGAAACAACAAAATCTGACCTTCAGAGATCATGAATACAGGTCTGAAAGAAATTGGCCAAAATTCAGGCCAGGAAAATACTATCCTGACACCCAGGGATCTCCCTGGGTGAAAGCATGAGGTGACTCTCTTTGATTTTACCATTTTGTGTCATCGTTCTTCCATGGCTTCCCACCCAGCCTAATTCTACAATTTGTTTTTATTTCTAGTTCCTTCTTTCTGGGGATTGGTGAATTCAGCTTGGAATCTCTGCTCTGTGGGGAAACGGCAGTCACCAGTCAACATAGAGACCAGTCACATGATCTTCGACCCCTTCCTGACGCCCCTTCGCATCAACACTGGGGGCAGGAAGGTAAGCCGCCTTGTTGCTTCTACTGGGAACTGGAGGATGGAGCAGGATCAGTGCTGATTCTGACAGCTGGTCCTCCAGGTCTTTGTCTCTGTGATGAGTTTGTCTTTCCACACTAGCAATACCACAGACCTCAAGTCTGCTGCCAACAAATTTCATCACAGCTAAACTGGCCTTTTTCTCTCTACCTACTCACTGTCATGCTTCTAATTACTGTGTACCTCTTAGAGGTTGCCCGAGGTCCTATTCCTTGGTACCCCTTGAAGATCAGAAAACCTAGTTGCCTCCCTTGCATAAGAGGCTGGGAAAATCCTTCCTCTGAGACTTACTTCTTTTAAACTCGAATGAAGTGAAAAGGAATTTTTTTTTTTTTTAACCAAAGTAAAATCAGATGTTTATCATCCTGGAAGGAAAAACAAACAAACAACAATCACCTTAGATGATTTATAAGAAAATCAATAATTAATCTTCCTAGGGGCATCTTGCTGCCTCAGAATCCTAATGCATGCACAGAAATGCTGATTTATGCTGTGCTTTGTGATTCTCATGCTGAAGTCCACCCCACTTTGGGCCCTGTGATGAGGTCCCCTTAATTTGCGGAAGGACGTACTGCCCGAAGGGTCTTCTCAGTGCTGGAATCTAGCATTTCTCTTGCTGCTGCATTTCTATTCAGCTACCTTCTACTCTCAAGTAGGATGTTGAAGGTGGGGGAAAACCTACACACATAGAAAATTGCATTTGAAGGTGATTTGATTGTTGTGAACTCAAGAGGAATGAAAAGTCATTTGTGTGTTTAAAAAAATAGGGTTAAAATTATAGACTCTCATTATCACTGGCTGCTGATTCTCCAGGGTTTGAGCTCACAGGGCTGTACTCTCTCTTCTTTGTAATCTGTTCACTATCCTCACTATAGAGTTTGCAAGTTAATATTTTCCCTTTCTGGTATATTGGAATATTTTTCTGCCATGTAACACTCTCTCTCTCTCTCTCTCTCTCTCTCACACACACACACACACACACACCCCTAATGTCTCAACAAAATGTTGTTAGTGACTTTGATTCAGATCACAATGAAGCTTTTAAAAGACATTGCACATGAGATCAAGACCACTTCTATAGTATTTGTGTGCTCTTTAAATATGGCTTGAGAATATCTTTTTGTTTTTAGAAGGATCCTACATAGGTCATTTGATTGCTCCTCTGATTCTATAGAAAACTAAGCCACTCCAGTGATTGTTTCATTTGAAGTTTTGTTTTTATGAACCCTAAAAGAACTTGACATGATTTCCACACACATTGCTCTCTAAAAAACGATGAATCCTTCATTTAAAGTTGTGAATGTGTGTGAGTTTTCTGGTCAGTTATTTAAGAAAGGAAAGTTGAAGTTCTGGTTATATATTCAAGCATCTCCTTTTTCTTGGAAAGGATGATAGGGGGGATAATTGCACTCTATGCAAAGGGAAAAGCAGTAAAGTCAAACCAAAAACAAAAAGTCCAAGATGGGATGGGATTTGAGCCTGAGTTCCAGAAATCACCTGGAATATGGAGAGCAGTGCTAAAGCCCAGAAACCAAAGAGTGGTTGCTGGCTTGGGCATGGGGTACAGAAGGTGGCAGAGGCCACATCTTGGAGCTGTGTAAAGGAACTGGATCTTTTCCCTAAAAGTTATAAAATGCAACTGAAGGTTTTTGCTTTGCTTTGTTTAAACATCCTTTGGGAGTAGGATGGAAAGATGTCAAGCTAACACCAACAACGGATTTATATTTCTACCTTGTATCATACTGCTTTACAGGAAAATGTTGATGTGAAAGAAAGAAACAAATTTCTAGATTCTCCCTCAAATGGAATGGGAAAGAAAAAAAAGTGAGAGATGTCCTGATGTGGAAAGTCCTCTGCATGTTATGATTTTGTTGCTGTTGTTGTTTTGGACAAGTGACTTTTTATCTTTCCAATTCAGCAAAGTGTACCTGATCCAAATCAATTTTCAAAGGCATTGAAGTTTGGAATTTGGGAAACATTTACTTTCGATGATGTAAATATTTATATCTGGCACCATTTGTGTTGTCAGCCGTTTGAAGAGCTGAGAACTAGCTGGCAGTGCCCTTTGCATTCATGAAAAATGGAAAATAAAATATAGATGGTAGCAGGATAAACGACCTGGTAATGAAATGCCTCAGCCTGATAGGCAATAACTAAATCATGCTTGTGTGCTTTTTAGAAGGTGGTGTTTGATGAGTCACTTGTTTTGGAAGTGAGGATTCAGATCACTGCTCTGAATTTAGGTTGGCTTTTTTTTTTGCCTTAAAAAAATAGTCAACTCAAAATGTTTAAAAACTACTGTGCTAGACTGGGAGATTTTTTTTGTAGAATTTAGGCAAGATGCCACATTTTGAAGTCTGAGATCAGCTGTGTCAGTAGGTTAAATGCACCCCGGTAACTGTGTGTTTTGTGTCACATTTTTATCTGTGAACATTATTCCTTCTGGCATTTAAATATGTCTTATGCACAAAACCATGAAGCAGCTCTGCCACAGCCCCCGTTGTGTGTTCTTGTGTTTGTTTTAACATATTTGACCTGACAGGGGGCTTTTCTTAGCTTAGGCTAGGGCCAGAATTCAACCTCAACACAAGAATAGCAAGGAATGATAAGAGATGAGAGTCCAAAATGCACTGTGACTTGGGCATGATAGAAAATGTACATTTTTACCTAACAATGAGAATTCTTTCACCCTTTACGTTGCTTACTTTCAATGGTAGTTCTTATGCAATGTTTTGTTGATGTTGTTTTGGTTTGTTTTGTTTCTGGTGGGGACCATTTTTATGGAACCATGTATATATGACACATAGGACTCTTAAAGATGGAATCCAGAATAATTGTATTTTTTGAAATGACCTTCCTTTAAGGTTGGTTGCATGTGGATGTCAGAATCCTACCTTAGAATCAATCTCTCACTCCGTTCCCATTAAACTTACATTGTAAAATGCTAAATGGTTTTGAGATAATTAATCTGTTTTAGATAAAGCTACTGAATTGACTCAAGATATTAAAATAAAAAATGGGTGACAGACTTCTAAGGACATCTAATACCAGTTTTATGGATGCAGCCTGTCACTCATTGAAGGTGGAAGCTCTTGGATCTGCCACCTCTGGGGAAGATGAAGGTGGTGGAAATAACAGACATACCTTGTGACAGGGTCAGATAAAACAAGCAAAAGAAGAAGGAAATTGACCTTCACTTGGACTTATCTCAAAGAGGAAGCAGTTCCCCCATCTCTTCTGGTTTCTTTCTTGAGTTTTTGCCCAGTGGAGGCCAAGAACATGGTTCTTAGGGAGAGATCCTAGGCACCTACTACTGTTGCCATCAGTTTTCTTTGGATTTCTGATTACTTGCAGCTTCCATCAGGAAGAGCCTCAGCAGAAGACAGGGAATGTGTAAATCGGGTGAGTCTTAAGGACTTTAATTCAGAGGGATCCTTTATAGCCACCAGGGTTCTAAAGGGAAGAGGGGAGGGAGTTAGGAGCCAGAACCTGGGGACAGAGAAAGCTGTGGAGAGGGACACCTGACTTTTAGTAAGGAAAAAGGCCAGCTCAGTGCAACCCACAGGGATGCATCTGGGGAGTAAAGACCTGGGCCTCTCTCCTTCCCCTCCCCTCTTCTGCCATCTCCCCTTGGAAAAAAGTCAGTGTGCAAAGCCACGGGATGATTGTGTCTGTGTAAGCCAGCCTCAGAACCACGGTGCATGGTGAAGGGCCAAACGGAAGACATATGGCATCTCCACGTTTCCCAAGAAATAAATATGAGGCACTAAAACTCCTCCTCATCATCACCTAGAAATTGAGATGCAAATGCTTCTGCTTGGCGCTCACAACACTTGAAATTCAGCCCCAAATCTCCTTGCTGGAGACTTATGCCACTTATACTTTGTGTGTACCTCTTATGCCCTGGGAAATACTTAAAAATAAAAAAATCTAAAAAAATAAACTGGATATATCTCACCTTTTCCTGGAATCTGTGCCTTTGCCACAATATGCCTTTCCCCTGACAAGTCTCAGGACTCCCTTTTAATGAAACTCCTCTTGGTCTCTTTAGCCAACTGTGACATCTCTCTTCATTTGACTTCTTAAGCATCTATCTTATTTATTGTCTTTTAGGACTTAAGCTTTGATCTCTCAAGAGATCATATTTTTATTTTCTATCTCTAGTATTATCTGTGATGATGCTGGATGATTTGAACTGAACAAGGATTACCCTTGATTATCAATAAAAAGGTTTATGTGGATTAGTCCATAGTTGCTAAGATTTAAAGTTGGGGAAATGTACAATGTCCCCATGATGAATAGTTAACTTTGCTACCAGTGGAATTTGTCACTAAAGCTAAACCTCAGATATTGTGCTTGTCATAGAATATTAAAATAACTTAGAAAAGTAAAGAATGTTGATTTTTATATGTAAAATCTTATTCACTTCTCTATCTTGAAATTTCCCCATGCTCATAGTAAAATCCAGCTGACTATAATTAATCATTGCTATTCATGGTGTGTTGACATTGCTATGTTCTGAAAGCTTTTATGGGAGAGGCATTTATGTTCCTCCAAGGGATTTATAATATATTTGGGGTGAAAATATAGATACACAGAAGTTAAATGGCAGTAACTGATTTAAGCAACTATTTGAGATAATAGCAGAGTAGGTAGTAAAGAAGCTGTGACATGATTAATTAGTGAGTCAATCATTTTGGCACTAATTTTTAATGGGGGTAAGAAGCTGGGTTGGACAGACCAGGCTTTATGGATGTCTAGGATACGAGCTAGCTTGAATAGGTAGGTAGGATGAAATATAGTTTTCAGGAGGGTCTATAAATGTCAGATTGTCTGGCTAGAAGAGGCGAAGAAAAGGTAAAGATAGATCCATTTTGCCATCTAAATTTGTTTCTGTGACACTGTTTTTGATTGGATAGCTGCTGTTAAATTCCTCAACCATTTAAAACTCAGTAGCCATCTTTAAGCACCATGACCCTTTTTTTACACTGAAACTATGATATGGAAATGGTGTGTATAACTTATGTTTATTTGGGGATAGAGTAGAATTTCAGAGTGTCTGAATAGATAGATGCAATAGATAGTTGGTAAACTCCTTGACTTACCATATTGGTGATAGCCTTTCTCAGAAGAAAGCAACTAGGGGTCTGTTTATTGGATCTAACTCTTACTAACAAGGAAAATGTTAGGCATGTGAAATGGACAGTAACTATGGATGAAAGTGGAAAGTGGATGCATTATCTTAGAAAGTCTAGTACCCAAGGTAAAAAAAAAAAAAAAAGTTGGACATTGTCAGACATGGATATAAAAACTTCAAATGTCTGATTTTTTAAATATTATAATTAAAATAGAGATAGAATCTCACTGCTTCATGAAAAATGACTCCAGGGGATTGGGAAGCTCCTAAAAAGAGATTAGGATGGAACAATTATAAATGATGATAACAAAAAAAGAGAGAGAGAACTGGTTGGAGTAAAAGATACTGATGTGACTTTACAGGGAGTTTTGTGAGAAATGTTTTTACATGACACATAAGAGATGTGACACAAGAGCTACAGTCAAGAAGGAAGACACAAGGAGGAGGGCTTTGTTTAAGTGGTTTCAGAGAAGAGAAGACCCAGAATGAACTGAGGCCACCAGAAATGAGAAAGGCTTTTGAAAGTTAAGGTCAGAGAAAGCAGGAGCAGCAAGTCCAGGTAGACCTCTATTTTGGAGGACAAACTGGTGTGAGACCTGCATTTAAATTTTAGGTTCACCACCTACCCGTCATATATGAGAAGGTTAACCTCTCTAAGTTTCAGTTTTCTCATTTGTAAAAGGAACATTGTAACAGCACCCACAGTTTGCATGGGAAAATGCACTTATGAGGCAGGTTACAGTTGAAATTGTTATCAGTGACTGACAGATAAGACCTTGCTCAGTGATGGTTAGCTACTGTCAGACAAGTTCTCATTGCTGTTAGAGAAAAACCACAACTCCCATTCAAATCTCTCAGTCCAAGAAACTAATGTTCACATTAGAGTTAGCAGTGGACATGCTAAGAGGTGAAGGATTGCATTCTTTGGATGACATATTTAAGAATTCACAGGCCTCCTCCCTGGTAGCCCCAACAAAAGAGGCTGACATCCCACTGACATAAAGGTAAAGTTTTTCTATCTAAACTTATAAAAAGCTTCACAGATTTAGACTGGGCAAGATAATGCTGTAAGAATACTATGTGTGAAAAAGTAGGGAAAGGGAACGGATGATGTGCTCAGTATGGTTCAATAGCACAGGGAAGAGGCCAGGAGAATTCTACCTAGTCACTTAGAACGTAAGGTACTACATCCATGATAAGTGAGTCAGTGTCATGCAGTACCCTTAACTGGGAGGACAGTATCTGGGAAACACAGTCAGTGCCCCCAGTGCTGGGGAAGATTGACTAATGGAAAAGACATTGACAGGGTGGAGAAGAGAAGAAGAGGCACAAAGTGATAGCAAGAAGAAAGATGTTCTGTCATCAGTTCTATCTCCCTATCCATCTACCTATCTGAAAGGAAAATACTTGAAGGAGTCGTTACAACTACCTTCTGATTATCCCTTTCCCATGAAGCCCCAGATGCACTGGTGTTTGGAAGAGACTTAGGCCAGACTTCATTTCAAAATAAGAGGAACTGGAGCTGTGTGTAAATTGAATGACCTCCTTCTGCTTCATTGAAACCACAGGCAAGAAAAAATAAAGAGTTCTGAGAAGCACCGAGAGCTGCTGGAGATTGTAGAAAACACCCAAGCATCAGATGAGAGCTTTGACTTGACCCGGGAACCCCCTTCCAACCTGGAAATCCTTTGCTTCTGTATGAGCAGAGGTTGGACGGGACACATGGAATGTATTTGCTTGAAGCTGACCCAAGAATAAGGGTTTAATGAGAATGTAAACCCTCCTAGAGAAAAACTTCTGTTAAAGCATGAGTTTGGGCTTGGAAGAAATTTGGCTTGTTTCCTTCTCAAACTCTATGAAAATTATTCTTCGTAGAATTTTGTAATCTTAGCTATTCAGGAGGCTGTGGTGGGGGAAGGATCACTTGAGCTTAGGAGTTCAAGGCCAACCTGGGCAACACAGTAATACCCTGTTTTAAAACACACACACACACACACACATATCACATATTAGGTAGAGTGCAGGAATCAAGGCAAAATGAATGTTGTAAAATGGGTTTTGATAGATAAAGAAATAAGGCCAAGGTCATTGTGTTTGTACTTAGAGCTGTTTGCAAGGAGTAGGCTTCAGTGAGTAATGGTGAAAGATAATGGGAAAGATGGAATCGCTGTATTCTACATCAGAAGATGGATTCAGTACAAAGGCGTTCTTCTGTGAGCAGAACTGAATTCTCACACACCCATTGTCAAGCTGAGATCCGGGCTGAGGATTGGTGCATTTCTGGTGAAAGTGACCTCTTGACCTCTTCCATAAAATCAACACAGAGCCATTAGGCAAGTCTTCCAAAGAATGCCCTGGTTATTGGCTTTAGTATTTTACAAATGTGTCTAATTCCCATTTTACTCCTCGGGTGAGAGGTAGAAAAGGCTTTATTTTGCTTTCCTCTCCTGCTTCTTGTTCCTCTACCCCGTTGATCCTTGACTACATTTTTCCTCTGTTATTCCATCTCCCTTCCTTGCTCTCTTATCCTTTCCCCCAACTCCAATTTCCTCCTTCCCTTCCCTCTTTTCCCAAGCCTCTTTCTCTTCTCTGGGTCCTGAGTTATTATGACCAGGAACCCATGTCCTCTCCCGTCGACATCAGAGTGAATCCAGTTCTCTCGGTTCCAGAATCATTTCAACTAAACACAGAAAGTGTAGCAGTTGCCTAGTTGAAGTGAGGGAAAATGCCAGTTATCCAGGAAATGAGCATAATTTTTATTAGAGATTATGGGAGAGATTAATCCAAGATGTTTAATTAATTTGTAGGCAGATAAATTTCTGGAAGGAAGAATTCCCTCCAGGAATCTCCTGAGTTATGTGCCCCTTACTTCATACCACTTTGGTTTTCTGGACACGTGACCCACAGATAAAAAAACTAACAGGCATTTTACAAATTAATTCTCATCTTAAAATAGAGAAGAAAATATAGTATTCCCGTACACTGCTTGCCCTTCAGTTCTCTTACCACCCCTCTAACTATGAGAGAGAGGAGCAGGAGAAAGGGCAAACCCATGACCTAATTCTAAGAGGTTTTCTCCAGCCCAGGACAGGTTGCCCAGGACAGGGCTCCAGCTGTCTCTAGTTGGCGAGGACAGGTTCCGTCACAGCCAAGATGAATGTGGAAAAGCACCTGAGCAACAGCAGAAACCGTCACCTGCCAAGGCAAGCTTCTCGCTTGATATTAAAGAACTGGTACTGGTTTTGCATTTGCTCTAAGAAGGCTC